TTAGAATTAGGTCTGAATGATTTGGAAGAATATAAGATTCATTTCTTTTATTCCACGATTGACATTCAAGTTTATTTAATTATGAACTATTTCAACCATCTTGTCAATTTTTAACACTCATCACTAACGAATAATTTTCCACTTCATTCAACATAAATATATCTGTGTGGAAAATAAGCACTGATTTCCCATTCCATTTATCATAAACAAAAACGTGTGCAAAATCTATGCCCTGATTTTCTATTCCAGTCATAAAAAACAATTCCGTGTGTAAAAAATATGCACTGATTGTATGTATTTCATGTATTCCTTATTTGAGGTTAGAAATCCTTTTTTAATTCACGTGAATTTTTTCCAAAAATAAGATAAGGATTCTGATGTCCTAACATCAATTTGAAATACTCTCTCACCATCGATAATTTTTCACAATTCCGGGAGAAGGAAATTTCTTTCAGAACTTACTACTTTTCTCTATTCTTTTACAGAAATTCGAAAATTTTGTGAAATTGGAGTATGAAAAAACCAATAAATTTCTCTATTTTTTTCAAAATTTTCATTCGATATTTCCATACTATTTTTAATTTGCGATTCACCAACTTTGTTTATGATACCTTTTTTCGGTGAATTTACAATATTTTCTTTCATAATCAATATATTAATGTGTACATTGACGGAGAATGAGAACTAAAAAATATTTTTACGAATTATTTGCTCGTTTCTTATTTCAGGCTAGAAATGCTCTTCAAAAGTCGCGCCCATTTTCGCGAAATTATTTATGAAGATTGCCCTTTATAGTACCCGTTTTTTTTCAATGCCATCTGTCGGTGTCCCCGCCGAAGTTCGTCCTCATTCGAGCTATTTTGAGTTCGACTTTCGGCGTTCGACTTTTTTCAATTCGAGTTTTACCCTTCGTGTCTTTTATGAATAGAAAGAAAAAAAAAGAGGATTATCAAACGATGAATTATATTCGACAGAAGAAAATAATATGCAAAATGACCATTCGGAAGTGTATTGCTAATTTATTAGCAAAAATAACCATACTATATTATGGAGAAAAAAGCAATTTCCCAAACACCCAAAACATATTTTTGAGTGACTGCATGTGTGATAAATATAACAATAAGCAAAAATAACAATACTATATGACGATAAACGTAATTTCCCACTTGCTTCATTCCATTCTTGGTTTTCAAGTTATCCAATTATCAATCATCATTCGAACAATTTCTCATTTCACATGCGCCGCCATGACACTTTTTACATGTCCTCCGCCATGACAGTTTCCAATGCATGCTTTTTTTATAAAGGACTAGCGCCGCCGCAGCCGCAAGCGGCCGCGACGTTGATGCTCTCTCATTATGCCTTTTCTTCTTTTTCCATTTTCTTAAAGTAATTGTTCATAAGATTTTTCATAATACTGATTATGCAGATTAACGGAACAATCGATTTTGTTCATCACCAGTTCACTTTCAATATTTCAATGAGTGATTCTGTTTTTTAATTTCTATACTCATTGAATAAAATTTGACAGACTTTCGATTTTAATTGTAATATGGAATCGAGATTCTATCCAGGGCATGAAATGCTCGGTACCCCAGAATTTTTCAGATTTTTCCTCCATCGCCATTCCCCTTTACGCCCCTGCAGAAACATTCAATTATTTTTTCTGGAACAATTATCTAACCAATCCTGATATCTTTTTGCTGATTTGAAGTCTTCTCTACTAATTCATGATGTTCTTCACAATTTCATTGAAAGATTTCAGAAACTTTGATGAATGATGTGAAATTTTTTCTATCTTACATAATCTTCTGAAATCTTATGAATTTCTTTTTCATGTAACTTGAAGATTTTGTCAATTTGTTGAAAGAATTGATTGAATTCCTCGATTTTTTAAAAATTGTTTTCTACTTCCTCATTTCAACCAATCAGAGTGCAGTCGCAACGTTGATGCTCTTTCATTATGCCTTCTCCTTGCTTTCATTTTATTCTAATGAATCTTGCGATTAATGAGAACTATTTGTTTCGGTTCATGACCTGTTCAATTGCAATATTTCAGTGAGTGTTTCGCTCATTTTGAATTTCTGTGATGACTGATTGGGATTTTCATCATAATTATCAATGAAATCTGTTCGGAGTGCAAAACAATTATTATAAAATTTCTTGTAGCTATTTTTATAATTATTCGAGAATTTCCTGAACTTGAAACTTTGATACATCACTTGAATTTTTTTCAAATTTCCTAATGTAATTCAGAAATCCTTGTGATTTTTATTTGAACTTGAAAATTCATTTGAATTGTTGAAAAACATCCGAGGAGATTAATTTCTGCTCCTTCATTTCACCCAGTTTGTAGTATTCGGGTTCACGTGACTCAGCTGCCATTTGAATCCCGAAAAAGCCCAAAATAATGAATCAATTCAGACTCAGTGAACCGAATTTGAAAAATTTGAAAAATTTCCAAAGTCCTTCCTCTCTATATTGACCTGATCTTCTTAGTATGTAAACAATTGACAAATTGACTCTTTTGGACAGAATTTTTTTTTCCTATAGAAACACGGAACATTCCGAAGAAATTATGTCCTTAAACATTTTTCCGCATTTGCAACGGTTTAATCAATATGAATTCATAAACAGATGATTTCCCTGATGTATCAAACCCAGAGTTGACTCTGGGTTCGTGGACATAAGCCAGAGTCAACTCTGGGTTTTCTCCATGACCCCAGAGTCAACTCTGGGTTCGATTCATCAGGGTTTTTGCGGTTTCTTCGATATTGCCTACTAAAAATGTTGATTAAATTTTCTTTCACATTTCACGCAATTGCTTATGTTTTTTATATGATACATATGATTCATTAAGGAATCTACTCCGTGTATTCCAAATTATTCGTTGAGATAATTTGTTTCATTATTTTAGTTTTTTTTTTATTCAAGACATTTCAAAAAAAATTGGTCTTCATTATTTTTCCCCCCACTGAACCGTTTGGTTGATAAAAAATGATAAACAATGAACGAATTCATTTATCATTATTTACTCAACAATAAGTCGGGATGGAGGCAAATATCATAACGACTTAACTTTGTTAAAATGTCTGGCATATTCAGGAACAAAATTCTCCCTATGACAATTGATTTTTTTTTCCTTTTGTTTAAACAATACATGAAAAATCAATCCGGTGTACATGCAATAGGCATCTCCATTAAATATCCACGTATGATATGCAGAACCAATGTAATCACGGGAATTAAGAAAAAAAATCAGCAGTTTAAGTAGACAATACCGGAAAAACCTTAACAAATCATTTATTTATGAAGTTTTATTGAATGGGCTCCCTTTTCATATTCATAGTCCACGATACATACACGATTTACACGTCTAATAGACATTCCCTATAAGAGAATGTACTTGTATGTTGTATTCTAATTCTAATCCGAAATGTGATTCAAAATTCGCGCCAATTTCCCAAGCAATGCCATCTGACAGTAACTTCCCGAAGCTCGTTCTCATTCGAGTTCGACTTCCAGAGAAATCGATTCGACTTTTCTCAATTCGAGTTCTCATTCGGCAGCAATTATGCTTTCCTTTTTATTAAAGGATTACGACATATTGAGTATGTGGCAATCTGCCAAAATATAACATCATATGCTCTATTATGTCATTATTCACGATATTCTGACATTCTCTGTGATGATTCCTAGCAACACTGCTCGTCAGAAAATGTCATAATTGGAACTGCTAAATATCAAAACGCCACCTATGAGTGGCGGATATTGGGCTGCACACAGACAGTATGCAACCCAATTTGCAACCAGTATGCAGACAGTATGCAACCTAAAATCGTCCATATTGGTGAAAACGAACACCGCCATCGGTAATTAGCGGTCCCAATATGGGAAATTATTACATATTGTCTCTGATAGAATCTGTCGAAGTATGACATCCGATGTTTTACTATGTCATGCTTTGACATATTTTGACATTTTCTGTGAATATTCCTCGCACAGGTCAGAAAATGTCATTGTAAGACAGATTATGATACATTGCGTCTGACAGAATCTGTCAACGTATGACATCATGTTTTACTATGTGATTATTGTACAGATAATGTAATATTTCTCCATTTTTGGAGGACATTTTGAACACAGGTATTCGTCAGAAAATGTCATAGTATGACAGGCTATCAGATATTGTGTCTGACAGAATTTGTCAGCGTATGACATCATATGTTTTATTATGTCATTATTTTACAGATAATGCCATATTTTGACATTTTTGGAGGACATCTTGGGGATAAGTATTCGTCAGAATATGTCAAAGTATGACAAATTATGACATGTTGTGTTTGATGGAATCTGTCAAAGTATGACATCATACGTTTTATTATGTCATTATTTTACACATAATGTCATATTTTTTCATTTTTGAAAGACAATTTGAGCACGGGTATTCGTCAGAAAATGTCATAGTATGACAAATTATGACAGGCTGTGTTTGATAGAATTTGTCAAAGTATGACATCATACGTTTTATTATGGCATTATTTTACAGATATGTCATATTTTGACATTTTTGGAAGACATTTTGAGCACAGGTACTCATCAGAAAATGTCATCATATGACAAATTATGGCATCAAGAATCTAACATAATTTCACTTATCGTGACATTTTTTGTCAGATGACTCCATTGTTTGTCATATTCTGACATTTTCTGACATTCTATGGACTTAACATAATATGACATTTTTTCTGAAAATATTTCCGAAAATTTTCGGACAAAATTTGTCATATTATGACAAGTTCTGCAAATTTATGTTAGAATTCGTAATATTTGTCATTTTTTTACTTTTTTGAAATTTTCTGTCATTATTTGACAGAATCTGTTCGCCAAATTTCCACCAGGGTTATCTCTGAAATGTCGATTTTAGCATTATTTGCAAAATAATAACAAGAATGATAGATTCCCAGGGAGTTCAATTATTTCATATGTATAAGGCTCACCATCCACGGGATCATCCCTCGGAATTATCTCAGTCCCATCAGCCATATCAACAAATGATTTTCAAGCTCCACAATTCTCCACCGTGTATTCTCCTGCTCGCCACACAAATTGTTTCAAAAATTATTCTGATTATTGTTCAATTAAAAGTGATTAGGAAAACACGGCATTTCTCTAGATATAACCTCTCGGCCTACTACTCACGGAAAAAAATCCCTGAAAAATTTCTCCCAATCAATCCTTGAGATCACGACCTATTCAAATCAATTTTTCGCCAAAACCCCCTGCAATTCAAGACCTTATTATGATAAAATTGGTCAAGTCAAACATCTAGAATAATTTAAACACAGTAAACTCTCCAACATAGAATATCCTAGGAAACCACTGGTCTATACTAACCAAAGAGGATTAACTAAAGTAGAGGCTCAGATCAGAGATAGGGGAGATGAACAGGGCCAATGTAAAGTGTTCAACAACAAAAATAGTAGCGGTGGCGCATGGACTACGATGGAGCGTACGGAATTGTTGGTATGATAGGGCCCGAGCATAAATTTGTCGATAACCGGAAAGGGGTTCTCAATACGGTAGCTCCTCGCATTTCGTAATAATTGTCAGGAATGTAAAATCGAACATATTATAATCAATAGTATAATGATTGCACAATCTAATGATCTAAAAGCCTTTTCCTTTTTCTCGACATATTTATCATTGACACGTAGATCAAAAAATTCATAGAAAATCCCAGCGCTGTCGCTGGAAAACTCTATAGTTTTCCAGTGATTCTATTGAATAATTGTGCAGATTTTGTTTTTTTTTT